TTTGTGGAGGATTTTTCGTTATTTCATAAGTAACTTTCTACTAATTGAGATTTAGACAGAAGTAAAGTTTTAACTAAAATTATATAGGTACAAACTGTATATAATATTTATGTATATATACAAATTATTAAAGATGCCGAATGATAAGTTCACTTTCTATATTTATACAAATTATTATTATAATTAAAATAAATATAGTAAAAGATGTGAATTTCAAAAAAAAAGATAAACAAAAGGGAAAATATATTTGAATTTTCGAAACATTTTCCTTGAATAATTACATATTGTGTTATCGAAATGAACACATTCCAGCTGTAAACAGTCAGTTGCACTCAGCAATATATATATGTATGTAGTAATTGCGTGTATGACATGAGTAAATATTTGAGGAAAATTACTTGAACAAACATTCAAGTTCGTATATGAAGGACCAGAGAAGTGAATTGATTGGTGAATGGTGCATCTGATATATACGATGAATCAGTGATGGGTATAACCATAAGCAGCGACTGCAAGTTATTGATGAACTTACTGACCGACACACTCGCCAAAAACGAGGGTAAATTACAGAGCTACCCAGGGGGTGAGGGAGGATGCATTCAGATAAACCGCGTGGCAATATACCCCTGCCTGCCAATACATTTAATGGTTCCACATACGTCACTCCCTCTCTCTCTCTCTCTCTCTCTCTCTCTCTCTCTCTTTTTCGCTTTCGTGTGTAGTTCTCGTGAGCCGAGAACGTGCCTTGAATGAAGACTTTACTGGGGTAAAGTATTTTGCCTGGAAACACTTGCATCGTATATACTTTTCTTGCACACATACTACATACGCAGAGAGATCGAATTTCCAAGCTCGTGAGCGTCCAGTGACCCCGCGACAAGGAGGAGGGGAGGAGAAAAGTGTGTAGTATGTAAGCACGTGTGTCTCAACACTTTACTACACTTGAGTGTGCTTTACTCTAGAAATACAGAAAAGTTCAAGAAATAACCTGAGAGTCACTTCTCTCGCGTGGAACAACTTCTCTTTATTATTTTCATTTTTATTTTCTTTTTTTTTCCTATCTTACTTGGCACGTTATGATGCGCTAAAAATAGATAATTATGTATGCGACGAGCCAGCCTATACACGGATGAGATAAAAATATAATTCTTATGCGTCTCGAGCAAAATATGAAAATATTATTGATTTTTCACATCATCCCATGTAGAAATTTCCCTACTTGTCCCTACCAAATGTTGGATTCTGATTAGAACCATCCTAGAAAATCTACTCTAGAAAAATCTGTCTAGAACCTCGCTAGATTCTGACTAGAATCTCTAGTCTACAAAAACTAATCGGTTTCCAATCAAATTCTAGTTAAAGAATTATTATTACTAATTTTGTATTATAAAGAATTATTATTAATTGATATTATTATTTATTATTTTAATAATTTAAATAATTTAATAACTTTATAATTTTTTAATTTAAATTATTATTAGATTATAAAGAATTATTATTAATTGAAATTATTAGATAATTCAGACTAGAAAAACTCACTAGGACCTTATTGATTTCCAACTAGCGACAAACTAGTGTACAAGTAATATACATAAATTGTCTTTCTATAAATAAATATTTTTATGAATTGTCAAAAACATTTTAAAGTATAATTGCACTTACATATATTTTTAAATAATTATTTTTACGGATAATATTACAAAATTTAGGTAATAAAAATTAATTATACTCACATAATTAATATTTATTTGTGTCTTATTCTTTTAATTTACTTATTAAATAAAAGATTTTTATTTAATAAAATTGTTTTATTGGAATTTTATGTAAGAATGTTCTACAATATTAAAAATTGGGTTTCAAATATGTTAAAAAATGAAATAATTAAATAGTATGCAAAATTTTTTAAAAAATAATGCTGGTAAAAATTATTTAACTAGAATTTGATTGGAACCCGACTAGTTTTTCTAGACTAGAGATTCTAGTTAGAATCTAGCGAGAGCCCTACTAGAGATAGGGGCAAATGGTGAATTGCTGCACGGGATGTTATTTAAGCGGAGGTGCTTCCAAGCTATCACGGCCGGGAGGTATGTGTATCCGACTGGAGTCCCCAAGGTCCAAGGTTCGATCCCCCATGGGCACGAAATTTTTCAACTCAAGTTTCAGGTTTTTCGTGTACAACATTCATTAATAATGTTAATATGAATGAAGAATTTAATTATAAATAGGTTAAGTTGAAAAATAATAATTTTTAAAAGTCAACTAGAAAATTCTAGTCGGGGCCCTATCAACACACAGCTAGTTTTAATACTAGTTCCCGACTAGATATTCTAGTCTATACCCCATCTGCCGACCGTTATGAAAGTAGTTGGGTTCTAACGATTTTCTCTAATCAGTTCCCCACTACAGATAGGGAATTCTGGCTAGGACCCCATAAAATTCCAATCTCAATTTCTGCATGGGATTCTTTCAATTATTTTTTTATCAATCAATTTCTCCTATTTACCAGCATTTACTGTTAACAGGGCTCGAACCAGTGAAAGTATTTCAAAATACGGACTTTTAAGGCCCCAAAAATTAAAAATTACGGACCAATTACTGATAAAAATATAACCAGTGCGAGAACATTTTACTTAAAACTAATTAAATTTTTCATAACTATAAAACATGAAGTTATCGATAACTCCGAGTTTTCGACTCAAAGTGATCGATTTCTTATCATATTTTATAATAATTAAAGATGGCCGAGTGATAAAATCATTATAAATTGAATTATAATTTTCAAGCGCATTTTTAACTATAAAATTCTTCTTTAAATCGATTATTTTGAATAATTTTCAAAAAAGTTCTTTGACAATTTTCAAATCCATTTGTTTACAATATTCAATTTGACGAAATTTCAATTATTCGTAAATTTTTTAATTAATTACATGTTAGAAAATAGAAACTTCAAATAATATAAACAGCAATTGATTGTTACAGAAATCAATGTTAATTTTTTCGACCACTTTTCTCTTAAAATATTAAATAAATTAAGCTAGTTTTTTGTGAATAACTCTAAAATATCATAAAGAAGGGCAATGATGTGAAAAAGTTTTAATATTTTTAAAATTATTTATTAAAAAATAACTTTAAAATTATCAGTTCTCAAAATCACTTTTAATCAATTTCTCGTCTTTTCCGATTTCAAAGTATTTTTTTATAATTTATTTTAGAATTATTAAAACTTTTGTACATCACTGCTCTTCTTTATTATATTTTAGAGTTATTCACAAAAAACTAGCTTAATTTATTTAATATTTTAAGAGAAAAGTGGTCGAAAAAATTAACATTGATTTCTGTAACAGTCACATGCTGTAAACAAAAAATTCAATTAAACTTTTTCAAAAAAATTAATTTCAAAATTCAATTATTTCTAAAAATTCACACTTTTAATATTCAATTATTATCTAAAATTTTAACTGAAATTCATTTTTAAATTAATTTTTATTAGAAAATTCTACTAGAAATCAATATTATTTAAATATAAAAAGAAAAAATTTATTTATTGTATGTTTCCTAAAATTAAATTCTTATTTGTCTTTCGACGAATTTTAATAAAATTTTTAAGAATTTTTAAGAATAATTACATTTTTCGAAAAATTCGATTAAAATTGTATAAAAAATAATAGAAATTCTTCGATGAGTTTTGTTATTTGTGAAAATAATTATTAAATACCTAAAAAGAATTTTATTATTTTTAAACAATATTTCATTTTTGCGAAGAATATTATTACTTTTAAAAAATAATTTAATTTCTGCAATAATTAAAAAAAACTTTATTAATTTATTTATTATTTATTAAAATAATTTACATTATTTTTTATATAATTTTTGAAAAAGTTCTTTGAGAATTTTCAAATTCATTTGTTTACAATTCAATTTTACACAAAATTTCAATTATTCGTAAATTCTTCAATAAAATAAAAACTTGAAATAATTCCAAAAAAAGTCCGCAATTAAACTTTTAAAAAAAAATTAATTCCACAGAATTGTTAGTTGAAAATATGAAAAATTCCGATTGTCAAAGATTTTAATTTAAAACCTTTTCAAAATTTAATTATTTCTAAAAATTCACGTTCTAATGCTTTTAATATTTAATTATAATCTAAAATTTTAACTAAAGTTCATTTTTTAAATCAATTTTTGATTAGAGAATTCTATTAGAATTCAATTATTTAAGTAGAAAAATACGTAATTTATTGAATAATAATTAAATGTTTCTTGAAATTGAATTCTCATAAAGAATTTTATGAATAAATTTTTAAACCATTGAATTCTTTTGACAAATTTTAATAGAATTTTTAGAACATCAATTGAGGCCTTGGATCCAATAACTCGCCCGACGCTCGAAGGCACGCGGTAATACCAGTCGGGTAGCAGTGAGTGGCCCAGAGGCGCTCACTGCTCACTGACTGGCAGTTGCGCGTTCCTCCGAGCGTCGGGCGAGTTATTGGATCCAAGGCCTCAATTACATTTTTCGAGGATTTTTTGGACAATTTTATTAAAATAGTAAATATTGAAAATCATTGATTGAGGAAAATTTTTGAAAGTAATTGAAATTTTGCCAAGAATTTTAGTAAAATTATTGAAAATAATTGAATTTCGAAGAAGAATTTAAGTAAATTCAAATATGACGTCAGAAAAGAAATTCAAAATGTCGGATTCAATATGTCGGACAAAATTTTTCAAAAAACAAATATTTATAAAAATTAGTATAAAAAGGTTTTTGGGATCGCTGATTCTAATTCTGACGTAAAAAAAAATTAATCTATTAAAAATGTTGGATAACGCATTTATATTTTGTGCGGATTCTTTTAAAAATTTGTCCACTATTTTGAATTTTTAAAAATGAATGAAATTCATTCTTTTATTATAGAACTATTAAATAGTATTATAAAATAATTAAAAAATTGTTTTTGACGAATGATGAATTTAATGAATATTTTCCTTTTTTGTTACAGGTGAGTCTGCTCAATTGTTTAGTAACAACAATCAGCGTAAATGTAAGTAAAATTCAAACTAATACAAGACTATCATATTAAAAAAAATATATTTAAAATCGTTCATCGGGATAAAAGAAACAATAGATTGAATAGTAACTTTAAAATTTTGAAGATTAAGAAAGAAACCACAAAGTTTTATTACACATCAAGAATGGTAAATAATTTTATTGAAGTATGTATGTAAGAAATAAATTTTCATCAATTTTCTTGAAATTGAAATAAGTTTAACGACTTTTTAAATATTTCTTTTTACTGTGATAAGAAAAAGTAATTTATAATTATAGTTTTACTTAATTATTAATAAATAATCATCTTTATTATATAGAAATTAAATTTTTGTAAAATCTGTAAATGAACTTACTATGTTAATTTAAATTTACGTATATAGAAGAAATCTGTTAATGTCCAAATTACATTTTTTTTAAATGTAGGGTAAAGTATCGGTCCTCTTCTTTTGCATTTACAACATTAGAGCTGAATATTTTTGTCAAGTACCACACGCGGAGAAAAGCTTTGATGTGGCAGCAAACTTTTAGCTGTCACAGCAAACTTGGTTTGTTGAAATAGGGACATCTAACAAGTTCGCTGTGAGACTAAAAAGGTTTGCTGACAACGAATTCACTATTCCCAGTCGAAAAACTTCTATAGAATTTCATAGAAATATACTATATATAAATTCTATTGAATATTCTAGGATAAATCCGGAGGAGATGGTCGCAGTTTTTATAAAGGATTGTAAAAATTATAAAAGAGCGATTTTTGTCTAAACTTTTTCCATAATTATAATCATTAAACACTCAACTTTAAAATGTCGAAAAATAAAATAATGCACTTTTCAAAAAATGTAAATTTTAAGATTATTTCCATGTGAAAAGTCACATGGGAATAATCTTAAAATTTACATTTTTTGAAGAGTGCATTTGGCCATCTGTTCCGGAATGTCCGGGAGAGATATGGCCACATGTGTTCGGGAGAGATGGCCAATACTTCTAATTTTTGGCTTTTAGCTTAAACTTAGTTTTCAACCGTTCAAATTACTTTTCTATTCTTGTTTTTACATTTTGAACATTTATCAAGGAATTCAGTGTCGTATTTCAATTGACCGCATCTCTTCCGTATAGGATCATCTCCTACGAACTTACCATATAAAGTTTAAAGAAAGTTATTTTACAAAATTTATATTTTTCCTGATTGAGTGCAATAAGTCCTCAATTGAATTTAAACAGTTGTATTGACTAACAGAGTAGTTAAAAGATAACTAAGAATGTATTAATTGGTGCAAGCAGATTCATCCGCCAAATTGAATTTATAAAAACTGACTTCGGATTCGTAGTCAGCGACCTGAAAAACTCCCTCTAACAAATTTTAATGAAGATCTATTGAATGTATAAAAATTTCATTAGCTACATTGGATCCGCTATTTTAGATTTTTAAAAACTGCCTTTAGAATAGTAATCAACGACCTGAAAAAACCCGTTTACTAAATTTTCATGAAGATCTGTTGAATGCTTAGAGAGAATTCATCTGCCATGTTGGGTCCGCTATTTTGGATTTTCAAAAACAGACTTCAGATTCGTAATCAGTGACCACGGAAACATGAAATTACCAATCCTCGTGTAAATCATCATCTGATGAAATAACCTAGAAAAATCAGAGAATTTTGATCGGAATCCTGTAAAATTATTGTTCTCTAAAGTTATTGTGCTTATTCTTGAAATCTAATTTTACTTAAATATTTCAAAATTAATTGAATTTTAAAAGAGTTGCGTTTACAATTTTCATAAATTAGATGAACTTTATAAAAGGTTTTAATTCGAAATTTTAGAAAATTTTAATTTTGAATGAATGAATTAAATAATAAAAATTTCACAGGAATTCTATTATTTACAAATTTTTTATAAATTTCTTCAATTTAAAAATAAATTTTTATAAATTTTCTTCAATTATTTTCATAAAAAATAACATTTTTTTTTAACCAGGAATTCAATTAATTTCATAAATAATAAAATTCCATACAGGTTTTCAATTATTTTCGTAAATAATAAAACTCATCGCAGAATTCCAATTATTTTGAATACAATAATTTTAATGTTTCTTGAAAAATGTAATTATCCTTAATAATTTTATTAATATTCATCAAAGAAATTCAATTATTTTATAAAAAGCCTTTGTATAATTTATTTATTAGCATTTAATTATTATTGTCCAATGCATTTTTAATTTTTAATTTAATTCAAATTATTTTAAAAAGAAATATATTATTAAAATTCGTCTCAAGAATTCAATTATTTTCAAAAGTAATCAAATTCTTGGCAAAATTTCAATTATTTTCAAAAACTTTTTTCAATTCAATCAAATTTTTCACAGAGATTCAATTATTTATTAAAATTTTTGTCAAAAGAATTTTAATTATTTAAAAATTTGTTAATAAAATTCTTTATCAGAATTTAATTTTGAGAAACATTCGATTATTTAGTAAATTATTTATTTTTTTATTTAAATAATTAAATTTTTGTAAAATTTTCTAATAAAAATTGATTTCAATATATGCATTTCAGTTAAAATTTTAAATAATAATTGATTATTAAACTAAATTTTAATTAGTAAAAATATACTTTCTAATTTGAATTAGTGACTGACTTTTTGCTTTAGAATATGCAGATTTTATTAATGAATAGTCGTTTCTAATAATTTAACAGTTAATTTATAATTTTATTTATTTAATTTTAGAAGTAATATTGAATTTTGAAAAGCTTTCTAATTATAATCTTTAAAAGTTTGAATTTTTCATACTTTTAACTGAAAATTGTGTATAGATTTAATTTTTTTAAAAAAGTTTAATGGAACTTTTGAAATTATTTGAAGTTTTTATTTTCTAATATATATTTGATTGAAAAATTTCCGAATAATCTATGAAATTTCGTAAAATTGAATTGTAAACAAAAAAATTTGAAAGTTTTCAAAGAAATTTTTCAAAAATTATTAGAAATAATTAATTACAAGGGAGAGAGAATATATATTAAATTTTGTAAAAATATTTTCAAATTGGGGAAAAAGTGCAACAAAGCGAAATTTTGATATAGAAAATACTTTACTTTAAAAAAAGTTTTGTGAAATTTATTAAAGTTATATTAGAATTTAATTAATATTCTTGATATTTGATATAATTATACTAAATTTCACATTTAAGTTTTTTTTAAAGTTTAGTATTTTTTATATCAAAATTTCGCTTTGTCGCACTTTTTCCCTAATTTGAAAATATTTTTACAAAATTTAATATATATTCTCTCTCCGTGTATAGTAATTAGTAATTAGTAAAAATTTAAAGAAGAGTTTTAGTTAAAAATAATTGAATTGAAATGATAAAAATAAATTTTATGAAGTTACAGTAGCAACATAATTCTTATAATATAAAATAATAATTTTATCAGTCGGTCATCTTTAATAATTAATTAATTATTATAAAACATGAAGATATCGATTGCTCCGAGTCGAAGACATACGGTTACGGAGTGATCGATTTCCTCATGTTTTATAACAATTTTTTTAAAATTGTTTAATTTCAAATAAGTATAATAATAATTATTGAATATTTATTTAAAAAAGAAGTAATAGAATATTTTTCCGAGTAATAATTTTTAAACTGAATCAAAATATTCTTTAGAGTGAAGAAAAAGTAAGAATATTTTGTCTGGAATTCAAGGGAAAGTAAGGGAAAAACAAAATTAAATTTTTGCTGTCAACAAATGTAGTTTTAAAAACCTGAAAAAGTTAGGGAATTTGAAATGAGGAAAAGCGTGGCAACCCTGGATAGGTTTTTTGTCTCATGTCGATATCCTTAGAAAAACTATGGATATAACATAAAAATGAAAAAAATTATTAATATTATTTAATGGGTCTTTTTGTTAGGTAGAACCAACCGGTGTTTTCTAGCGATAAGAGATGGTCCAGAACTCTAAAATCGTTAGCCCCTAACCCCTGTGACCTTGAAAAAAGTTTTCCAAAAGTTTCTGCAAGTTTCGATATATATTACATCGCAATCACCCTCATCGAGAAAAGTCGATTAATTTATTAATCTAATTTATAGACTTTTTTCAATGCCAGAGAGCGGAAAAAATCACGATCGACTAAATGCCAAACAAACTGCAAGGACAAATTTATGACACTTGGTCCAAGGGGTCTTTTATCGTACCTGATCTTTTTTGGGCACGCGTTCATTCGCCAAAAAGGGACAGCAGGGAGTGCAACACTAATACTCGCACCTATATTCTACGTGGTCGCACATCCGACATGATTTTTGTGCATAAGCATCCCGTTTTTGACATTAAATAAGAGGATGAGTGTATCGCCAACTGGAAAAGGAGAAGTGAGGGACGGAAGGACGAGGGTGCCTAGAAAAGGGCATTCACCTCTTGGGGTCCCGTGCGCACGCGTCTCGGCACATTCTCATACAATATCCACGTAACAACTGCACTCGGGCGAAGGTATTATGGTTTTATCCCTGAAAATGAGGGAGGAAAAGAGTGAAAAGCAGGGAGAGAGAGACTCGGTCAGAATGGAGACCCCAAAAACATATTCTTTACCTCCGCACGCAAGCCTGTCATATTTTTCGACCCCGAACTAATATCCCCGTTATATACCCTCTTGGTCTTGTCATTTCTCACCCCCTTTATACTGCCATATACTGCTAGCTTTCTGTTTCACCAATACTCCTCTGCATTTCGATTTGCAACGAAGGTATACGCGAGCCTCATTCGCTGTCAGCTGCTATGTCGTGCTATGAGATTCCCTTCGTACATTCTAACTTATTGCTTGAGGTAGTGCCTACTGTTTACTTATCTTGCAATTTCCTCCCCATTTTAAATGGCGGAAATAGGTGTAATTTTCCTATTATTTCAAGAGAGAGAGAGAGAGAAAAAAACACTACAAGCGCTTATGTGCATTTTTTTATACATCTATATACGAGCACTACGAGTAAGAAGCAATATCTCCACATTTCG